AGTGGGTCAAGGATGTTTAATTGCTTTGAAGAAGATGAAGAAGACTATGGGACTAGTTGCTACTAGTGATTGCTCAATGCTCATCACAAATGGGGCTCTCTGCTGGATGCTTCTCTTCTCTGTTTAAACCTGAGAACCGGTGGCGGTAGCTGCTGACATTAGGCTCCTTTTATAAAAGGGAAGGTGATGTTCCAAAGGTAACTTGCGTGGGGCCATGCTTCTGGAAAGTACACCTGCACTGCTCCCTACTAGGACCTTGAAGTCTATGTGGTCTCCTCATAGGTACCTTCCAGTCACCTCTGGGGTTCATGAAAATTCCTCATCCTGGGCTCTGTGAGGTAGAGCCTAACTACCCAGTATTTTTGAAATATATAAATTATGCAGAATTTTTCTTCCTAGGTGTATAGTTTTTAAAACACAGTAGTTTTTTAAAAATATTTTATTTTAATTATGTGCATTTGTGAGTGCAGGTACCCTTAAAGATAGAGTCACACAAGCAGTTACGAGCTGCGTGACATGGGTGCTAGAAGCCAAATTCAGGTCCTTGGCAAGAGCAATGTGTGCTTTTAACCACAGAGCCATTTCTCTGGCACCCCCAAGTCAAGATGAAAAAACAAAAATAAAAACATTTTCCTCCTCCTCCTCCTTTTCTCCCTGAGACAGGGTTTCTCTGTGTAGCCCTGGCTGTCCTAGAACTCTGTAGACCAGGCTGGCCTCAAACTCATGGAGATCCACCTGCCTCTGCCTCCTGCGTGCTTTGGATCTCTTGATGTGTACACTTTCAACCACTTAGGTAAATGGTTCAGGTACACAGTATGATTTGAGACCCAATTTTGCAATGCAGAGGGATTTTAACCCAGCAACATGGCTACTCTGGCTGGAACACACACACACACACACACACACACACACACACACACACACGCCCTTCGCACACACCTTGAATCCAAAACAATGAAGGTAAAGTTAGTTTGTAGAAGGAAGCACCCATATTTGAAAGTGACATGCCATTGAGAGGCAGACAAAGTGACGAACCAGAGAAAGATTTGGCAGAATGAATCAGGATAGGATACACTCAACTCTCAACAGAAGAGTTGACTTAGGAAAGAGAGGACTTAGGAAATCAGTGCAGAGGAGGCAGTTTTACCAGGATGATTTTATAGAGAGAGGTTGAAGAGAGAACAAACTAGACACAGGTGAAGACAGGATGAGCCAGAGAATGGGAAGAAGCCAGAAGACCAGAAAATATTGCCAAAGTTAGTATTGGGGCCAAGCGGAGCAATTCAGTGAGAAACTGAGAGAAGCCAGGTTGAAACAGTCAGTTTGGAGAGGAGTTTGAGCAAGAACAGCTGAACTGAGCCAGCCAGCAAGAATTGTGTGAACTTATTCAGCAGTAAGTCTCAGAGGCTGAAAATGTTCTAGGCCTAGAGTAGATTGTATGGAGGCTAGAAGCTTCCAGGACTAGGCCTAGGTTAGCAGATGGAGGAAGTAAGCCTCGGAGACAACAATTACTTCAGGAGAATAAAAGAGACTTTTATAGTGCTGTGTTATGATACCTGCAGAGGTAAGAAAGCAAAGCATTGGAAAAGTGGAGGAAAAAGCTGGAAAAGAAGAAAAAGGGCTGGAAGAGAAGTTTGGTTTCTTTGCAAACTTATGTTTTAATCCTAAGTGTGGGATTTTAGTTGAGCTATAGTTCGTCCATGCCTGTCAATTGTCTCGGGCAGAGTGTGGCTTTTGCCAGCTGGTAATGACCTTCCACAGGTGGCACAGAGAGGGGCGTGGTCTAGGACTCAGAGTATAAGTATGAGAGCTCAGAAAGAGAAGGTGTGGCATGGAGCAGTTTGGAAAGACCAGAGACCAGAGACAGTGTGGTGGTTTAGAGCAGACAGACAGAGGGAAATGTGTCAGCATACAGCAGCGTGGAGGGGCCTGCTGGCTGCATCTGCGGTTGCTGGAGATTGGTAGAGCCCTGAGAGAACCCCTTGACCCTAAACAGCTGGAAGAAGTAAAGGGGTCTGCGTCCTCTCCCCCTACTAACCTTTTCTCTTCCACGTAAGGGTTGGGAGGTTGGAGGGAGGTTAAGGCCTAAACACCCCAAATAAAAAAGAGTTTGAAAAAAGAACACTGCAAAGGGCCCTTATGGGAAGGAACTGTTGGCATAAGTGTCCCCAGATGAGGTACTGGCTCCTGGTGCCAAGGCAGAGAGTAGAAGAGAGAACTTTCAGAACAATCCAGACTGAAAAGGAAGTCAGCTGAGAGCTGGATGACTGCGAACAGGGTTGGTATAGACGGCTGGATAAATTGCTTTGGGGATTTATCCCTGACCTGGGGTCAGCCGGTGTGCTGGGCTAACTGAGGGTAGCCCGAGGCAGCGAGAGGAACCTGGACGGTGGTTGGTGGGACAAGCAAAGGGTAAGGATTTTCCTCCAGGTGGGTACCACTTTGGTCCTGTTGATTTTCTCCTGCTAGAATCCAGAGTGGCTCTTCTCCATCTCAAGTCCAGCCGGGAGGATTAGCTTACCCTGAACAGGTCGGAGTGTGGCCCAGACAATGTTTGGATAATAGGCAGAAGGTGTAAAATGTAGCAGAGAGCAGAAAAAACGCTCCAGCACCTCTCCAGAGAAGGGCCCTTGGCTCCGCTAGCCTTACTTCTGGCGGATGGCTTTCCCAGATGGCCTTCTCCGTCCTGCCACGTGGATACTGGGTGTCGGGAAGAGCCTGACACACCACAGTGACACCGGTTCATATGGTTAAGGTAGGTTGCAAGGAAACCACCTGGGGCTTTATGTCGGCTTCAATCCTTCCTTTTGAGGTGTGAGTATGTTCAATCCTTAAGTATTTCCTTTTCAGATTCCTGTCCCCCCTTCCTCTTTCCTGAATGGTGAAGACGTGAATGAGGGCACACACAAAGGGAAGTCAGCTTTATATCCCTCTTGTGACTCACCTCATACTAGCTGCCTGCCTGCACCCTGGCACAGATCCCGGGATGCTGAGCTTCTGTGGCCCCCGTGACTGACGTCCAGAGGAAACGGAACCACAGAGCTGATTAGAGGAGGAAGCGAAGCAGTGGGAGGAAGATAGGAAGGGTTTGTTGTGAACAAATGAAGATGCGGGGATGTGGGGTGTGAGCAGTTACTCAGCGCTCTTCTTCTTTGAGGGAGAGCGGCTTTGGGTCTCAGCTAAGAGGACACTCGGGTGTCTGTGGAGATAAACTTGGCGACTCACACTTTTTTTGTCATTTTGAAGTCAGAATGTTACGTCAAGTTCAAGTTATATTGATACTTATAGTTTTTATAACTGTGTTCCTCCTTTAGCCTGATGACCTTAGGTCTGTGCAACACTGAAGAAAGCTGACATTATAATTTTAATAGTGACACATGTGAGCATCTCATATTTTCACACACATTGTTGTACCCTCCTAAAGTTCCCCATAAACATGAGAGCCCAGGAAAATTTCCCTCTTAGGCAGGTGTCCAGAGAACACGCAGAAGGAGAGCGGGGGCATTTTCAGCTTCTGTAGAATCACAGTTGTTAGAGGTGAAAGAGATTGTAGGGATTATGTTGTCAAGGAGTCAGCAGTACAGAAAGACTACCTGAGGGCCACTGAGCCAGTGCACGCTGGAGTGGCTCCAAAGGTGCCCGGTGTGTTGGTGGGTGAGGAGTCCTGGAATAGGGATGGGCACTCACGTCAGTTTTTCTGCACCATCAGGGAAGCTTCTAGACTCATCACTAATTGCCCCAATTATCCCTAAGCCCTGGTTAGGTCTAGGAGACACAAACTAGCTTCCAGCTGTTCACAAGTTTGCCTTGCAAGCCTGAGAAACAAGACATGCAAATACCAAACTCCCCAAGCCTCTCAGTTAGGGGCAAGAACAATAAGGGCAACGCCCTTTGCAGTTATTTTGGAGGCCAGTGGCTGTCACTGGTGTGACACTAGAAGGGTTTAGAAGAACTGTGGTTTACTGCCCTTCCATAAAGACTGAGGATGGGGCCAGAGGAGCCCTTCCAGGTAGGGCGAAGAGCTAGAAGGTAGTGCCCAGGACACAGGAGCTTCATCTGGAGAGAGTGCAGTAGTAGACACGAGAGCTGGAACCACAGCTTGCTTAAGTGTCAGCACGGCAGACCTTACCAAGCTCATCTGTAGCAGCCAGGCATGGGCACTCGGGGAGGCAGAGGCAGGTGGATCTCTGAGACCAGCCTCATCTGCAAAGTGAGTCCAGGACGGTCAAGGCTACACAGAGAAATGCTGTCTCAAAAAACCAAAATAAATAAATAAAAAATAAGAAGAAAGCTGTTTTGTTCTGGTGGTCTTTCAGAGGCTCCAGGATAACCACCTGACAGCGTTCTTGGGATCCCTGCAGTGATCTTTGGCGTTTTGTAAAACAGGGGCGTTGTTTCAGGAGCACCTCCCTCTCTGCGTAACCCATCTGGCTCTGCTCCCACATCTAATTCTTCTTATTCATTTCGGTTCTGTGACACCCACCCACCCAAATCCCACCTGTTGTACTGTCACCTCTCAGAATTTACTGTGGGCTTGGGGAGGGGAGATTAGACAGAGCTGATGTGACAAGTGAATTTCCCCAGGTGGGTAAACTCCATTGCAGGCCACAGAGGGGCCTCCTCATTCCGGCAATCTGGCCTGGCCCACAGACTCACAGCCTAGGAGGAGGAGAGGACAAGAGGAGGAGGGGTCAGCTTTTCTCAGCTGGTGAGGATTCCTCTGCTCCGTGGCAGTGCCGAAGAGGAGACAAGGGACTGTGCAGTGGGCTAGTCGCTAGGGCTGGGGATGCCTGAGCAGATGTACAAGCAGCTGGAAAGGTGGCACAGCCCTTGGGTCGCCGCCGCCGCCGCCGCCGAAGCTGTGGCTGTTCCTAGGAGACAGAGAAGCCAGCCTGCGGGGGAGGGGAAGCGAGTGGGTTGCTGCTTTTAGCAGCTGAAAGGGCTTGCAGGGAGCTCTGGGTAAGACATTTTCTACCACTGTCGCTTCTGCGGTGGAAGCTGCCGCGAGTAAGTCAGAGGAAGGAGGCTTGGGAGGGAGGAGGTCTCAGCTGCAGCCATGCTGAATCACTGTTGCTGATCAGAAACCCTCGCGGCGCTGCTGGGAGAACCCGGAGAGCAGCGCTAGTTCCCCGGGTGCATGCACAGTTTGGTGGCTACTGACCCTGCCGGGCCTCCCGCAATGGAGGGCGAAAGGTACGTTATGTATAAGTGCTGGTGTGTGCAGCGTGCATGTGTAAGCAAACGCGAGCTTAAGGTGCAGCCACCGGCATTTGTTTGCATCAGCTAGGCAAGGCTTGCAAAGCCTGGCCGCTGCGGGATCCCAGAGGAGAGGGAGGGCTGGGAAGTCCCTTTGGAAACCTACCTCTTCCAGGACTCAAGGTTCCGGAGACCAGGCTCCTGCCAAGGTAAGTCTGGCTTTGCTGGGCAATGGAGCACACGGGAAGAAGGAACTTCCTGGCTGGCGTTGGGCAGTAGTTTCAGCACGGCTGGAGCCAGGATCGCCCCTTTCAGGCCGTTTTTTCAGGGAGGCGGTCCCTTTCCCCCAGGGTGTCTTTCTTTGGTGGGGGGTTTGATGTCATTGCAGGGCTGGCCTAGGAGACTTGTTCACACCTAGGTGGTTGAATCTTCAGGAAACGTGCCAGGTGGCTTTCCTAAAATCGAGTCTGTGTGTATAGGTATGTTCCCGGACACTGGCTTTGTGTTCTGGGACCAGCCGAGGAGAAACCCAGTCCAGTGACATTTGCTCACCAACGGTTTTGTCCGTATCAAAGTTTGAGAGCTGCTGCTGCTGCTGCTGCTGCTGCTGCTGCTTCGAGGCGTGTGTGTCTTAGAGGAACTCCGGTTTCTTCCACCACAGACTTTTAATGAAACAGGGACGGGCAGAAATCGTCTGAGTGCTTGCAGCGGACAGGAATGAGCTGACCAGGGTTTGTCTCCTGGCAAGCAGGAGTGTGTACAGTTCTCGTTTATCTGAGGAGCTGATCCTCCGCTGTGAAGGCGCTCAGTGCAGGGACAGGTTTGGCAGAAGTCTCCCAAACTGTGCCACCGCCTCCTCACCCGCGGGTTGGCGCTGAGGACAGGCTTTGCCGTTTCCCTTGATGAGAAAAGGGAGAGAGGCCGGTAGTCTTTTCCTCCAAGTCATGAGTTGCTGTTATGGGGGGCAGGCACATTTGAAGAGCACCTTGAAAAGTTTGTCCCCACTCGGGCTCCTGTGAGAACAAGTGTGCTTCATTTCACTATCCTTTCTGTTTGTTTGTTTTGTTTTTTATTTTTGAGACAGGGTTTCTCTGTGTAGCCCCAGCTGTCTTGGACTCACTTTGTAGATCAAGAGGCTGGCCTGGAACTCACAGAGATCCGCCTGCCTCGACCTCCCTGCGTGCTGGGATTATTAGGCATGTGCCAGCAGCCGGCTCTCACTTACCTTTCAGAAAAAGCCTCAGAGACCAGTGGTTCTTGATAGCCCACCCACAGGAAGGGTAGAGCAGTGGTTCTCAGCCTTTCTAATGTGGTGACCCCAAGTATAAAATTATTTTTGTCGTTACTTCAAAACTGTAATTTTGCTACTGTTATGAATCATAATGCAAACACATGTTTCCTGATGGTCTTAGGCGACCCTGGTGAAAGGGTTGTTAGGCCCCTAATGGGTTGCAAACCACTGTCCTAGGACTTTTTAGACCATGTGTCCTGCCTCGTACCCCTCTCCGGACTCTCTTGATGACAGGTGCCCCCTGAGCAGTGGGGCATCAGAGGCCTTGGGGCAGAGGCGAAGGTGTCGTTTCTCTCACTGGTCTGGTTGGTAGCTGAGGGAAGGAGGAGGCGAATCAGTCGGGACTGTGTCTGCGTGCGCCACCTGCAGCGTCTCTGGGCTGAGTGGCTGGCATGGGATTGCTGCCAGCCGAGCATTTGGGAGCCGAGTCTGTGTCCACAGTTCAGCGTCCTGCTTCGTCACAAGTCCTTGTACCAAAGGGCTCTTCCTCAACTGGTCTGCGAGGGCACCTTTTGTCTGTGGCTTTTGGGTGCCCATTGGCTTTTTGTCTACCAGAGGCTGACCAGACACAAGAAACCTGAGTAGAGAGTTCCAGCATTTACTAGGCTGCCCAGATCATTACTTTTTGTCCCTGTTCCGGGGACAGATTGCAGTCTTTGATTTGCCTCCTCTCTCTCTTTCCAATGCGTGGCCGTTCACGCAAGAGTCCTGCGTGAGACTCAGCTTTTTTAGTCTTTGTTGATGGTCTTACATACAAACCTCTTTGTGTGTGTGTGTGTGTGTGTGTGTGCGCGCATGTGTGCATGTGTGCTAAGACAGGGTCTCTCTATGTATCCCGGATTGTCCCGGAACTCACTATATAGACCAGGTCGGCCTGGAACTCACAGAGATCCGCCTACCTCTGCCTCCAGAGACTGGGATTAAAGGTGTGCGCCACCCGGCCGACCTCTTGTTCGTATTTTAGGTCTGAGTGAGAGGTCTAGCCGGCCTTTTTGTGTTCCTGCTTTGTATGAGTTACAGGTCCTCAGACTTGGAGACATGTCCTCACAAGTGAGGATGCTGTCTTGTATTTCTTAACATCCCTCACGGACTCCTGTATGGCGTCACCAACAGCAGGTCCTGGGGAGTAATTTTCTAGCTGGTAACACAGGCAAGTTTCGTTAATTCTTTGAGAATTTCTTACCGTGCATTTTGATCATATTCCTCTCTCCTTCCTCATCCCCTTCCGGACCCGTTCCCACCTTTTTAACCCATTGAGTTCAGTGTCCTCTCTCTCCCTCCCCCCTTCCTTCCTTAACCATTTTGGTGCAGTTTGTGTTACCCAGTTACCATTGGTGTGGAGTCTGCCCTGGGCTGCCATCCATACACCAGGTATTATGTCAATAAAGAAAACTGACGCTCAGTCGGGCGCGGTGGCACACGCCTGTGACCCCAGCACTCGGGGAGGCAGAGGCAGGCAGAGCTCTGTGAGTTAGAGGCCAGCCTGCTCTACAAAGGGAGCCCAGGACAGCCCAGGCTCCACAGAGAAACCCTGACTCTCCCTCTCCCAGCAGCTATCAGATGCTAGTATCTCCTCAGCTTGGGAGGGAGGCTGGGATTGTGTCTGGCTCCAGCTTGCACAGATCTTGGGCGTGCTGTTGTGACTGCTGTGAGTTCCTGTGCACAGCTGCCCTCTTATCTGGGAAAACAGAGTTTCCTTGAAGTCTTCCACCATCTCTGCTTTTGCGCCTTTTCCACCCCCTCTTCCACAAAGATGCCTGAGCTCTGGGTGATGACACACACACCCAGTTTTCTCTTACTCTCTGCATCTCAGCCTCAACTGCTGCCTTTTGTGATGAACTCTTAACTAAAAAGGCGAGAGAAGAGATCGAAACCTTTGAACATCCCGCTATGGAGCTGATTCTCTCGGCTCCGCTTGAAATGCTTGAGATGAAGGAAGAGGCGGAGGTAGCTTCGGCTTCTAAGTTTCCTGGAAACCAAGAGTGAAAGCAGAGTGATTGGCCCAGGCCACGAGCCCAACCTCCAGGGACTGGAGACATTCTGCCTCTCGTGCCTGCTCCACATTTAACCCGCTGAAATGTAATTGGGGCTATTTTTAAGCATTAAGACATTTCAGCCAAGCGATGTCTATGAATTATTTTCTTTCTTTGCTATGAGAGTCTGGAAGTACCTTTTACCTCGAAATGTCAATCGAAAGCGTGGGCTTTGGAGTAGTACAAACTTAGTAACGTGAAGTGTTTTACGAGCCGTATGACCTTGTGCATATCATATTTTTTACTGAACTGTCTTTTGCATGTAAAGGGAACAACAACATATTTTTGTGGGGTTGTTTTGAAAATTGAATGAGGCAGTGTGTGCACAGAACCTAGTATTTCTTTTTCTGGTGTGGACAGCAGCTGCTATCATTCCTGGACCTTCTCTTGCTGTGCTGGCCCTGAGGGGTGGACAAAGCCTTTAAGATTTTCCTATAACAATTATCCAAAGCAGATGATTATGTGGGACTATTTGAATGAAAAAAAAAATACAGAGAAAGCTAACCCAAATTCTTTGCATAGTAAAGTGTCTCACAGGGCTTCACATCTCTTGTACTATTATTATTATTATTAATTATTATTATTATTTTTTGAGACAATGTTTCTTTGTGCAACAGCCCTGGATGTTCTGGAACTCACTTTGTACACCAGGCTGGCCTCAAGCTCAGAGATCTGCCTGCTTCTGCTTTCCGAATGCTGGGGTTAAAGACATGTGCCACCATGTTTGGCTCTCATTGTTTTAAGGTTTCACTGAGATCTATTTTTAAAAATTTTTAAAATTCACTTTACATCCTTGTTGTAGCCCCATCCCTCCTCCCCTCCCAGTCCCACCCTCCCTTCTTTTTTTTCTATCCCCCTCCTCTTTTCCTCAGAAAACGGGAGCTCCCTTTCCCATCCACCTCAGCTCATCAAATTGCATCGGGACCGAGCATGTCCTCTTTCCCTGTGTCCTGGCAAGGCAGTCCTACCAGGGGGAAGGGATCAAAAAGCTGGCAAGTGAGTCCCTGTTAGATATAGTCCCCACTTCCCTTACTAGAGGACCCACATGAAACCTAAGCTGCCCATCTGCTATATCTTTGTAGGGGTTCCTGCGTGGTCCTTGGTTGATGCTTCAGTCTCCACAGGCTCCTCTGGGCCGCCCTGGTTAGTTGGTCCTGTTGGTCTTCTTGTGGAGCTCCTGTCACCCCCATATCCTTTTCTTTTTCCTCCCACTTTTCCTATGCATCCCCCAATGTTTGGCTGTGAGTCTCAGCATCTGTTTTGAGGCACTCCTGGGTAGCGTCTCTCAGAGGACAGCTCTGACAGGCTCCTGTCTGCAAGCTTAGCAGAGTATCATTCACAGCGTCAGGAATTGACACTCTCCCATAGGGTGGGCCTTTGGTTGGGCCAGGCATTGGTTGGACATTCCCTCAATCTCTGCTCTATCCCTGCACATCTTGTGGGCAGGGCAAACTTTGAGTCAAAGTTTTTGTGTGTGTATTGGTGTTCCTCTCTCTCTGCCAGGAGACTAGTCTAGTTAGAGGGTGACCTCTTCAATCTCTATGGCCTCTACTAGTAGGAGTCTCTGCTTGAATCCCCCACATATCCTCCCAGAAGCCTACCCTGACTTAGGTCTCCAGCTTGTCACAGAGATATCCTCACCCTCAGTTTCTCTTTTCTCTTCAGGCCTTTGT